GCGAATTTTTTCCACTGCTCCAGGCTGTAGTATTTGTGTATGCATGTGAATAGTCCATGCTAAAAAAAAACAAATTTAGTGGTGACACCATCTTCTTAGGGTCATACCGCCATATGTTAAAAACGGATTTTGCCAAACGGGAGTACTGATTTCTTCAGTTTTAATTATTCATGCTATAAAGTATAAACTGTATAACTGGTCTGTACACATGTCGAAATTTTTGGGCCTTAAGGTACTCGGCTAAATATATATTATAAAGGATATATAGCTATACCGGAATCTCACAGCAAAAGACAAAAATAAAAAATGAGATTTTCATGATGAGTGACACCCGTCAAATCGAAGTACGAATGTCAACCGCTGCTGAGATTTTGTGATTATCTTCTTGAAATTTGTTGTTTTTGTGAAAATATCGAGAAAGACACTTCGATCTCAAGCGAGCAGTATTGTTTTTAATGTTCGTAAAATAAAGGAAGAAGGTGTGAGTCAAACTCAATCTTTGATTTTAAACCGCGTGGTAGAGTTGACTGTGTGGTTTTGATACTTTTAGTTTATTTCATGTTTCTTCTTAATTGTGACTTTTTATAAGAATTTCCAGTAGGAAACCCCTATAAAAAGTCACTAGTAGAGTAGTACTCTACTATATGGCGAATCGTAACTGAGGGCACATCGAATGATGTGTGTTTTCCACGCCTGGTAAAGAACAACATTCATACAAAAAACTAACATACTTTATGTTGTTAATTAATACTAAAGACATAAAAAATTAAACAGTATCAAGATCGTTCAATCCAATTTCTCCAGTATTGCCCACAACTTTCTGTTTCCCTATTCGCCATAAGATTTCAATAAAACTATAGGCGTGTTTTATTTGCGCGATTTCGCGAACATCAGATACCATTTATTAGAACTACTACTTGTTAAACAAAGAGCCTAATGTTTATTATACATTTCCTGTTTGCAATACTATCATAACAATGTAATGGTTAATTCCCATGAAGGCTGAAGCTATTCGGTTTGGAATTTATTACATTGTGATACAGGATCATGTGTTCGAGACAGCCATCTAGCCTATTAAGAATGCCTACGATTCCCGAAACACTACTAGGAATATTAATGGTTTGATACATAATGCAGAACATGAACACATATTCTTAATTAAAATAAAAGACCTTCAACAACTTAAATTAAAATTAACGTAAATGCTTTATTACTTTGAAAACAAATAACCGAGACCTAATTGTAATAATAACCAGCTGCCCACTGAAGTATTTCCTAACCAATTCGAGGAATCCTTCAAGTAAGGAACGTAGCAATACTGAAACCGGGAACGCACTTGCGAGCCTTCCGGCAATGTGAGTGTCCATGGGCGGCGATATCACTTAACATCAGGTGAGTCTCCTGCCCGTTGCCACCTATTACATAATTTTTTTTTTACTTTATTTAGGTTTATAGTATGTTAAGAATATTACATATTTACATTAAGCATACTGATGAATTTTATTGCCTCGTATTCGTTTCTCATTATGTCTTCTTGAGCGCATATCGTACGGAAATGGTTTGACGGCTCTTTAAAAGCAAAAGAAAGTAGATTTAAGGTCGATTGATATTCTAGAAAGGGGAGCTAAAGCCCCCTTATTCATAAAAATATTTAATTTAATTCATTATTTAAATATAAATTACAGAAAGGAACTAAAGAGTACGTGGTTTTACAATACTGAATCAGTTTTTATAAAAGGACATGATTCGGATTCTTCATAGACTATAATTTCCTACATCTTTATCTATTTATTCCGTAACCTCTGTGTCTATGTGGGTCAAACCCAAAAGTAATGAACAAATTTAATTAGAAAATCCCTTGGAAGATGGGACGGGCTTTGGTATGGGACGCTACTTGTGTGGACACATTAGCCCCGTCACACCTTCGGACAAGCAAAAAAGCTGGGGCAACCGCGGAGCAGGCGGAAAATAATAAATGGCTCAAATATTCTTTCCTCCAACTTCGATTTTGTTCCCTTTGGAGTAGATGATTTAGGTTTATGTTGGCGTCTGGTAAATCGTATCGGTGACAGCAGAGCTGGTGCTTTTCTCACTTAACGAATAAGTATCGTAACACAGCGTGGAAATGCTGCCAGCGATAAAGATACTTTTAAACCAAACTTTTAAAATTTGTTTTAATTGTCTTTTTTTTTTTAATTCTTTTTATTAGTACTTAGGTTAAGAAAATTGTAAATAATGTATATTTGATTGTTATTTTTAGGTTTTAATAAACGTTTTCATTAGTTTAAGAAAAAATATAAATTAATTAGACATTATAAAAACTTATTTAAGTCAAAATATTGCAAACCATGTTTCGTTAGAGTTTATGAAAAAAAGATACCTTGGACAACTCCTGCGCCATTTCAAATGTCCCCACTGTGTCCATGTTGCTGGCCATCACAGGTACACCACGGTACGTCTGACCGGAGTTACGGAATGTTATCTCCCGGAATAGATCTACCTGAAAAATTATAATTAGTTAAAAGCATAATTTTAAACATTTTGGATTGCGAATATATACGTCAAAGCTGTTCCACTGTTATGATATATTTATATATCTTAACAACTGTCAATGCGATAGTTAGTTTAAAAAGAACATACTACATGGCATATGTACAATATATATATAAACATTTTTTTAAATTTTCACTAACGATTTAAAACTTTATACATTAACTAACAATCTTAAACAACGTCTTTTAAACCAGTAAACGGAAAGTATTCACATAAAAGGGCATCATTAAGGTGGTTACACATGAAAGGGCATCGGAAGGAGAAAAAGCTTTGGGAGAAGAATGTGCGTTTTTTGGGTTATTTATATATACGTAGGTATGCGTTGTGTATGATGTGGTGTGGTCGGTTTTTGTTTCCAAAAAAACTACGATGTTTTTAAAAGTAAAACTAATCATGGCTCGCTCTACGAATAAGTATCACCATACAGCGATTAAATGCCAGCATTCTGCCATTAAACGAATCAATTTTTAATTAATATTATTACTATGTAGGCTAAGAATATTGTTAATACTGTATATTTGTGTATGACAAATATTGTGCCATTATTTCGATTCCTCATTATATAGTATATACTGTTCTCTGTAGAACTCGATATAGTATATTCTGTTAAACAGAATTTGCGCTTTAAATTATCTTTAAATAAATTTTGTGTACGTAATTAAACTCCTAAACGACTGGTCATAATAACGTGATGAAGTTTTTTCTCTGTGTTCAAGTGGATTCAAAAATGATTTTAAAAAATTAAATGATTTTTTATCTTGTATAAAGAACAACGTATGTCGGGTCCGCTAGTTATGAATAGAATCAAATGAAAGAAAAATATCGTTAATTTAACATTGATTTAACGATGTTTTAAATAGAAAGGAGTGCAAATAAACTTCTAATGAATACAGCTAGAAAAACAACTAAGGTAACAGATGTAACAGAATAAACATAATACTAAACTGGTGCCCAAGGTACAGTAAACGAAAAAGAGGATAGACCAAATTAAAGAAACAGCAGATGGTATATGGCAGAGAGTGGCACATCGCAGAGGAATGTGCCTTGCCTTGGCTTGCCTTTGCCTCCTCCAAGTCCCGCTATCAAAAAAAACAAAGCAAATCCCGGCAAAGGGCACACAGATACACTAAAAGAAGATTGAAATAGAAACGTGTTTAAATGTAAATGTATCTAAATTAAAGATAATTAATCTGCATTGTTAAGCAAATAACTACTAGTACAATCTAAAATGGAAGTATAATATTTTTATTGTATTTTGTAAAATTTATGTACACACACATATATCATGTCAGGTATTTTGATAAGTAGCTTGTAACATATACTGAAATGCGTTATATGATGTAGTGTACTTTAATTATTAAAAAAGGAGGGTAACACAACCTCGATTATACATATACTGTATTTGAGCGCAATTAAAAAGAACTCAAAGGTACAAAACCTACACATTTCTTAACTATATCAGTAAATCTTCAAAGGGCATTAATTATATTTTTTATTTTCAATTTATACTTTTATTTAACGTTTATATATTCTTCAATTATTTTTATGAACTTTATTAACTGATAAATCCGTTTCGCAAACGTACCGTAACTAATTAGATCAAAATGATTACTATTTATTTTAAATTCGCATAAAACCTTTTTATAAAATGATTGGAGAATCGCCAGATCCCATACCTCTATTTTTGATAGACAATTTGACGGTCGTGATCTCTAGTAGACATGGGACATATTGTATGTGCCAAATACATAGTTAATAACCTTGTTTTTGTCTTATCCCTTCATTAAACGTACGATAAAATATTTAAACAGTATAGTGTATAGAAAACAATAATAAATTCAGAAATTGTTTAAAGCGAAACTAAGATGATTATTCACATGAGAGATTTCTTCACAGGCAATCTTTACTTAAGGACCTATCTGGTCACTCTCCAAAAAAGTACATTGTTTCTTTCCATTTTTCGTCATCGTTTCTTAAAGTAGGGCGAATGGAAAAAATATATGGTGGAGTTGAGTTGTTTATGTATCCATTTTGAAAGATCGATACACGATTTAAATAACTTCGCTGGATAGAAAAATTTTTTTGATACTTTGAATTCATTTTATGACGAAAATGTATATGTCACCGTAAAATTGTAAACACCGTTAGATTGTAATCTATCTCGCGAGATTGTAAACTGTCGAAATATTGTGAACCTCAACGTACTGCTTACAATTTAACGTATTATTATTCGGTAGATTGTAATCTATCGAAGTGAAACCGTCAAATTGTGAAATATCAAAATAATCAAGTGATTTTACAGTGAAACTCATCTTCACGAAGGTGTTTAAAAATATCTATATTCAAAAATATGACAGTGACAATTAATATTCTTTAAGAAAAATAAAAATTTAATGGTCGTCGTTTGTGCTGATGAGTTAACGATGTAAAATAATTAAAAAATTATTATAATTCCTAACAGCAACCAACTCAGTTTTGTATCGCGCAGCTCGGACATACAACGACCACTATTTAAGCTTTGGCTTGTTTAGCTATCGCAGAATATGTTTAAAAGGAGTGTTAAGCCTTATCCATAGCGCTAAATCACCTGCACCATGAGCACACCTCACGAACATACCCTCACTTCACACATATCATACAACACTGCAATTACAAATTTAATAATTTTATTGATTTTTCCTTTCGAAAATGTTTAAACCTTTTTGTATATATACGGTATTCCACCTTTCGCTATATGTTTAGTTTAATGGTTATATATAATATTACGAAAGGATAGAATAGGATTACGGTAGGATTACGAAAAAAAAGCAACGATATACGATGCAAGATTGATAATTTAGTATGAAATAAATATATTTTTTCTTTTATGAGATTCATAAATATGAGATTAAATAGTGTTAGATTATATGAAATTACTTTATCAATTTGATTTGGCAATTCATAATAATTATGGCCGTAACATTTCTCTCTATAATAGACGCCAGGCCTCGAATGAAATAAAACATCCAGGTTTCTACGGGCACATACTTAGCAAATGACTACAAAATATTTAAATCAATACTTTTACTACGGTAACGGGAAACAATGCGAGGGTAAATATAACTGTCGAGCACTCCCTTCTGCATATAAATGATAACACCGCAATGCCAGTCACAGAACATTAATTTTTAAATCGTGTATATTATGTATTATATTATCTCTTTTTTTTTCGATATTATATCGTATTGGCTTAGTATTATAAGTACGTATAGTGTATGTATTTTTGTGAATAAATGTTTAAATTTCAATTATTTTATTAATTATAATTATTAATCCAGTGGCCATTTATTGGTACCAGTTCATCAGACCTAGAATTTAAATATTTCCTCATTTACGCACGCTGATTTGGGTTATTTTTTTAATATAATAGGGGGGCAAACGAGCCTACGGGACGCCCAAAAAGGGCAGTCATCGCAGCCCATAGACACCCATTTTTAGTGGGTGCGTTGCCGGCCTTTGTGGGAGGAGTCCACTCAAATTTTTAATAGTTGGAGGTCGTATCTCTCAAGGAAGAACCTCACCGGGTGTCGATTCCACAGTTCACTAGTTTGCAAAAGAAAATGCCTTGTGAAACGCACTGTGGAAGACTTCCAGCCATCAAGGTGATGTTGATGAAATTTTGAATTCATACGGCTCGTACGGTGTTGAAACGAGGCAGTTGGAATCAACCCAAACAATTCCTCAGAACACTCACCGTAGTACGCTTTATAGAAAACGCATGGAGACACATTGGAGATTGACAATTCGACAAACCCTTCGTTGAATTTGGTCAAAAAGAAGAAGCTGATATTGGGGAGCACCAGGCCAGAGATGTGAGCAGTATTCCATATGAGGTCGTACTTGATCGATTATTTTTATATAATAACTAGCGGACCCCACAGACGTTGACCTGCATAATATTTAAAGCGATTAGGATATTAAACAAAGTATGAAAGTACCGACTGCAAACCAACCAGGGCTCCACCCAAACGCATACAAAAAACCATTAAAATCGGTCCAGCCGTTTAATAGGAGTCCAGTGACATACACACGTACAGTAGAATTATATATATGTAAGCTATCCTATCTTTTAAGTTAGAACAAACTGTACACGGTGTGCAAATTTGATTAAAATCGGTTCAGTAGTTTAGGAGTCCATAGCGGACAAACAACGTGACGCGTAATTTATATATATTAAGATTTTAAGTGATACCAACGGCCCACTTTTTGCCAGGAGGGCCGCGTTGTCGGCCTTTTAAGATTTTGACCTCCTTTTTCTAGAAGGAACCTAATTCAATACTGGAAATATTTCAGTGTTATTAATAAAATTCGGAAGGAGGATTAAGGAACGTTGTAATGGGTAAAATCCAGGGTAAACGGCGTGTCGGTAGAAGGAAGAAATCATGGCTTCGCAACGTTTAGGTAAAATTCTATTGACTTTGGCTACGTAAGGCGAACCTAGCCCTTGCCCCAATCGCAATTGCTACGAGTCGTTAATTATTCGCAACCCGATATAATAATTAGCCTGTTATTACGTAGGACAGTGTAAATGTTTGTATTATATCAAGAGTATTATAAAAATGTACACAAAGAACGCGTGACGCACCACTTCACAATCACATTGTGATGTCAGATGATGTAATTTTGTTATCAATTCTAAGTATCCTTATCTACCATTAGCCATACCCTTTATTTTTACTCGTGTACGGTAGTTTGATGTTATATAGACTTCCTTAATGAAATGACGTCGAGGCAGAATACGAAATACCACCCATATCGACGTCCGTCGTTCCATAACAGGGCGTTTTTTAAGGCAGTTACAGAACCAGCTGCCTAGTGAAGTATTTCCGAACCAATTCGACTTATTCCTTCAAGAAAAGAGCATATCAATTCTTAAAAGGCCGGCAATCGTATGGAGTCGGGCAGCCT